CTGCTTGGCCTGCTGTGTTCATCCAGCCCTGCACCTTGTTGTCATTTGATTTGAGATTTTCTCTTTATACAGCGAAGAATGCACAACAATTGCTTTAGATCTGCAAAGCAACACATGAGGCCAATCAGTCCACAAGGCCAGATTAATCTCTTCCAAAGTGCTATCCAATTACTTGCACGTCCCGTGCTTTGTTCCCAAAGAGCTGCAAATTCTTCTTTTGCAAGTAAATGTACAATTCCAGTTTGCGAGAAGCCTTTGGATCTGCTCCCTCTTCGCATTCACATCGTCCTTTCCAGTTCACAAGAAACAGCACAACAGAAGAAGAACAACTAATTTTATTTTAGTTTCGACATAGTTGAAAGTCTCCTTGACTCTTGCGTTGCATTTAAAGAATTTCTAATGGATGTTCTGTGGCATTGCCCCCATCCAGTCGAGGACTACTGATATTGTTACTATTTCTCTCCATACAGAAAAACACTTGTTTGTCAGTTAGTGTGACGCAGTAAATGTACTGGTAGAAGCAAACTGCTGAGTGATGTGGAGGGGAGTATTAGACACCTTCCTGATGCTGTGCAATCAGGGCCGTTTATTGAAACATTAGATTCAGAGGGTCTTGACATGGTAGATGCTGAAACGATGTGTCACATCGGTCAGAAATCCAGGACTCGTGAGCACAGTTTAAAAATAAGGGCTCACCAATGTGTGGTTCGTATCAGGGGACTTGTCTCCTTTCAGAGGAGTATTAGTTCGATATCTCATTGCCAATGAACAGTGTAGGCTGCAACATTGAATTATTCAGGCCTGTATACAGGTTATGGTTTAAACAGGGAGTGATCAGTTATCCGGGAGGCAGGATTTCTTCAGTCTATGTTTAAATCATTGCTGACCTTGTGGAATAGAGAAGTGAGTTTGATTGGCTAAATTGCCTCCTCCTGTTCCTATTCCTTATGATAACCGGAATACTCTCATTAATATTATCAAAACAGAAAATTCACAAAAGCTGCTTCTGATGCAAGCAGCATTGCCTACACTCCCCG